GATCCCTGGAAAACCTGGGAGTCTGAGGCCCATAAGGATCAAAGGATGAGCAAGAAGTTGTGGGGTTGGGGGGAGGGAATAGCAGCTAACAGAAAAAGAAAGAAAATGAACTACAAACTTAAGCAAAATGATGTCAAAATGTAGAAGGGCCAAAAAGTTATGGGATATCTCAATTTGTATTACTTTAAGTATTTTGTTTAAAGGCTACATGCAATAAAATGTGCCAGACATTCAAAAGTCTCTAAGAAAGGATAGGTAATGTGGACTGAATGGTGACCATCATCTATTCTCAGTTTTGTGATTTGTCAATATACACACCTCACTTCAGCAGACTATTGGGACAAGAAAGACAGAATGCAAGAATAACAGGATTTTACTAGCAATTACATTTTAATCAAGTAAAAGGAGAAATAAACAGACCACAGAAATAATACACTTCTAAATGTAAATGTGTAAAGTAACTTCTCTACATGTGCATTTTCCTCTCTACATGTAACAGTCACCCAAAATAGGATAACAATGCAGTATTATATTATGTAGCTGAGTGCAAAGATCAAAACAATATGAAACATTGCAAGGAAATCAAAAGCAGTGAAATCTTAAACTAGTAGGAAAATCTACCATGGAAAAGAAAACAAATATCTTTTAGTAAAGCAATGATAAAATCAATTTACACAGAGTGAAATGATTATTAGTTTTAGTAAAGAAGAAAATAAAGTGTTCTAATAGTGAACTATCAATTGCAGGCATATGCACAATTACCAGAAAATAAAATAAGAATTTATTAATGAGAATTACTTTTTTTTGTGAAAAATATTACACTATAATTAATCAAATGTTTGTAGTTTATGGAACAATAAAGAACATAGCAACACAAAAGCCCCTCGGGCAAGTTTTGCTATTCGATTAGATGATGACTAATCTGTAACTCAGCGGCATTTACCCACCTTTGCTCCATATCCCTTGGTAAGCATTTCTGAAAAGACCTATTTATTTTGGTGTCACGGATGTTAATCAATCCAACATCTAAAGTATTTTGAGGGAACAGAGCTCCAGACTTGCACCAATGTGTGTACAGAAATAGTTTCCAGATATTGCTCCGAGATGGGCTAAGCTCGAATGTCTGGGATTTCTCGATCATAGAAACTCATTTCTCTGCATTTACCTAATCATTATCACTTCAATCATTCCTCAACTTCAGAAACTTAAAGGAATATGAAACAAGTTCATTCAACCTGCCCTCAATTTAACCCTTAATAACCTGCATCATTCCGTAGAGTTGGCTTTGCAGACTTACACTGAAGCCATTCAGGATAATGGCTTTTTGATTCTGCTACTGTACCACTAGCCTAGCTCTTAGCAACTTACGCATATGGATATTTAATTCATTTTGCTCCTTATCATCATGGTGGATCAGAACCTGGAGTACATGTGACATTGTTTATTTTAATGCCAAAATGTGTTCATGTTTTAGAAGTATTCTACAGTCAAAGAAAATGACAGCAGATGTATATTCAGTTGCTGTCTGACAATGTCCTAAAAGGGGCCCGTGCAATGTTGCACCCACAGAGTGTAAGGGAGACTTCAAACAGAGAGAGAAAAGTAGCAGGAAGAGATAAGGGTGCTGATTACCTGCATCCCTCTCAGTAAAAAGCCACAACCTGGCAGAATTTGTATGCTTTGGCTTTCCAGGAATATACAAAAATGGGGCTTGAAAACTAGCTGCAACAATATCTTTGTGCACTCGTGATCCGATGCCCTATGTGTGAGCTTGTGTGCTCTAAAGGGCACAGTTTAGAGAACCATCGCTAAACATCCCTGCCATGAAGGTAAAGAAAGGAAAAGGGTAACATTCTCATCGTGCTGAAAGCCAACTAAACAGCAAGCCAGTCAAAAGGAAATAAAGTAATAGAAGGACTCTCTCACTGAGTGACAGAAGCCAGCTAGCCAGAAGCCTCTGTCATGAGGAATCGGGACCTTTACAAAAAGTTTAAAGTCAAACTGCAAAGCCAAGAGACTCAAAATCGATTGTTCAACATTAACTGAATGACAATGCTACCAGTAGCATCCGCTGCAACAACTGTAACATTCAACTCTGCTCTTCATGAACAAATCAGAGACTGATCAGCCTTTTCTAAAACCTTATCTTTTTGGACTTACCCGTTATTTCTAACTGAATTGAATTGAATTAGCTTTATTGTCACATATACTCGAAAGAGTACAGTGAAGAGTTTATAAGTCACCACTTACAGCACCATCCTAGGTATAAAGGTACCTAGAACAATCCTTAGTTACAGAATAGAGAAAAGGAGAAGAGAAAAAGTGACATAACAGCTATACACAGTATGACCATGGGTCAGAAAAACAAGAAACAAAGTTAAAAACACAAACATCTCAGTCTATCCCCAAAGTGTGTCCGCAGCAAACCAGCGCAGGGGACCCCCACGTGGTCTGGCCGCTGGCTGCCACCACCCTCTGCACTGGGCCGCTAGTGTCCCTGCTCTGGCCTCTGGTGTCTCCACTGACCCCGCTTCAGAGACTGAGGCCGGGGGTCCAAGGCCAAGAGGATGTAAAGAAGGGAGGAAAGAGGGAGAATGAAAAGAAAAAAAAGTAAAAGAAAAAGAATGGGCAGAGCACAGAAGGTCCAGCTGGAGCACCCTACTCTGCCACCATCTTACCAGAACTAATCTGTGTGTGTGTGTTATGTTTCTATCTCTTCATTTGTTTAATAATCTATAAACTCACTCTTCTTGTTAATTCAAGAAAGCCTTTTTAAATTGCTGTCTTTTAAAATGTAAATTCATTTGGATCTAGAAGAGAGGTATTCAAATGGGAATTTTAAAATTAATCTTTGTGCAACCAAACGAGGGCACACGAATAACCAAAGCAAGTCAGTTCACCACTCCTCACCCAGCAGCTTAATGATGTAAGGTATCCAATCTAGAACCATTACAAATTTGGGAACCTTGCTTGGAGATTACACCTAACATCATCCACAGCTCCTTGCATATTAAGAGCATGCTCTAAATTTCTTTCTCAGATCTAAAGTACAGTGAACAACCTCACACTTGCTCACTTCAAACACTATCAGCCTTAAAATTACCCACTCAATTTGTCAATGTGCGTTTCTAATTTCTTGCTCCAATCAACACGTCTTACTTTGCCTTAAAACTTAATGTCATCATCAAGCAGAATCCCAAGTCTATTTCTTTATCCAAATCATTAATATAAATAGTGAAAGTCAGAGGCCTCAAAACAGATTTGTAAGGAGATAACAAGATGAAGAGCTGGATGAACACAGCAGACCAAGCAGCATCAGAGGAGCAGGAAAGCTGACGTTTCGGGTCTAGACCCTTCTTATCTCTGTAACAATTTTAACCCCACTGCGAAGCCTATCTCTGTAACAGATTTGTAAGGAGCACAACTTATGCCATCCAACTAATCACAGCATTTCCAAATCTGTTTCCCATCTCCCAATCAATTACCAACTCATCTGATAAAACTATCTTTGGGTGGAGGGATGAGAAATTTTGTGAAGTAGTTATACTTTTTGTCTCCAGAGTACCCCAGAGACCTGTATTACTCATCCAAGAAATGCACACACAACTCTCACCACCGTAACTTCAAAATTCTACATATAAAAGCTGGTATCAGTAAAGTGACCGTGACGTTGCCTTGCTTTAGCATCCAAACCCAGTCTGGTCCACAGTCCTATGGCAACATGGCTAACTGCCCTCTGAAGTGACTTAGCATTTGACACAACACTTAAGACGCTAAGACAAGTAGTCAAAAGCTTATTTAGAGAGTCGAGTTTTATGAAGTGTCTCAAAAGGAGGAGAGAGTGTTTGGGAGGAAATTCCAGAACTTAGAGCCTAAGCAGTTCAAGTCATGATTACCAAAGGTGGAGCGATTAACATCAGGAAAGTTTAAAAACCCAAAATGAGATAAGCACAGGAATCCTCAGGGTTTAGCAGTATAAAGAGATTAGAGATGGGGGGAATAGAGAGTGGTAAAGTCATGGAGGAGAATAAAAACAAGGTGAGAATTTTAAAAATGAGACATTGCTTAAAAGGAAGACAGTGTAGGTCAGCAAGCACATGATTATGGGTGAGTGGCACTCAGCGGGAGTAAGGACCAACAATAGCAAAAGTTCTAGATGATCTAAAGTTTCAGAGAGTATAATTAGTCAAATGGTATTGTGACATAAGTGCGGATGACTTTAAGCAGATGTTCTGAAGCAGAAATGGTTAAGCAATGTTAAAAAGGTGGAAGTAAACAGTCTCAGTCATGTTTCAAGAACCAAAGCAGTTTAAGAAGGCAGCTCACTGCCACTTTTTGCAGGACAATTAAGGGTGGACAGTAAACGCTGGCCTAAGCAGTAGTACCCACATCCCATAAACAAGCAACCAACATCCCGTAAAAACCAAAAAAGGTCAGAAGCTCTTCTCATATGACACCAAGTTTGTGAATAGTCTAGTTCAGCTTCAGACAATTGCTAGAAAGAGATAGAGTCAATATCTATTGGACAACTTTACCTTACAAATTGTTTGTTCCAAAAAAAAAACTCAACATTACCTTGCTTTTTTTGCCAAAAGGCCAAAGCTTTCCTTTGCTTTTTCCTATTGTGTACTTCTGGTCCCCCCTCATCTCTTGTCTTTGTGCACTCAGACTACCATCAGATACTGTCCTATAAATATTCTGGCTGAAGTCTTCAAATGGAAAGTCTCCAGGAGGTTCAAAACCTGATTTAAAGGATTCCACCACTATCAGAGAGTCCTAATAAGAAAAAAAAAATCAAGTTAAGTGCATTTTCAATAGCACACATTTATATTCTTCCTTGGCTAACTTTATTCATTCTTGAAGATATTGAATCTTGCTGGGAGACAATTCCATAGACACTACTCTCAAATGGTCAGACTTCATGGGTAAGCTTGACTGTATGAAGGCCTTTTCAACCATGGGGCCATCAGAGCCAACCGCAATCTTAACCCTATCTTCACACAATAATCACATATGCCCTGACATTAATGATGAGATGGAAAAATCTCCAGGATTTTAAAGCACTCCTACAGCTGAGTTGATATTAAGGATTAGAATATAACTGATCTAACGACGGAGCTACCACCAGCACCTTGGGGAGTAACATAATGCACGGAACATTTTTTCAATATTTCTTTGTTAAAAAACTGAGTTTTGAATTTATTACAAGCAAAGGGGACAAAAAAAAATTAGCACAAATCACAGCTGGTTAGATTTTAAAAATGATACACTATAGAACAAACCTTTGATTAAAGCCTCATTTCAAAATGTAATAATATTAAATAATCAAAACCCACTTCAAGCTCTTAACATTAGAATCCTTTAACGACAAACTAAATTCTGTTCATTTATTACCAAATTATATAAAGCCACATATCTGATTGTGACAGCACAAATAAATAAAATTAAAAGTCAAATTCTATGAATCTTGCTGTCCACCACAGCAAACGTCTGCCAAACACAATTTCTAATAAATAACAGCACTGAAGTGGAACATTTAACATTGATTGTGTGTTACGTAGTTTATATTTTTTGCTAGGATTCCTTTTCATCACCTCACCTCCCTACTGTAAAAATCTCAACATCACCCTCCCACAAAATTCCTGTAACCTGGAAGATTGGCCAGCTCAGGTTCAACTTCTTAAAACTGCAAATTACTGACATTGAAACATTGGCATAGATAACTATTTTGCATGTTTTTTTCGTTACAGCTCTCAACAATACTTACTTTGCGATCATCCACAGACTTTGCAGCGCTGATCATTCCCTCTAAACATTTATTGATAATTGGAACAACTCTACGCTCAGCTTCTGCAAATCCCCTGTAACATTCACTTAATTTGACAATTCTTCGCTCATCCATGTCTTGTAGATTCTGTAAAATTAAGTTCTCATTTAGTATAGATTGTAATATTTTCACACTTTTTCATTTAAAAAAAACTAGCTTAAAATGAGCATTAATTCCAGGGATTAAATTCATAATTCTTGGGATAAAGGATTAGGTATGATAACTTGCATTTCTATAATACTTGTAATTGGAGACATCTCAAGCAGCGTAAACATTATGAGGATAAAGTTACTAACATTAATCTGGAGGACTAAAGGAAGAAATTGAGAAATTCTGTAGAGCACAAAATGTAATTTGTATGTGGGGGGGGCACTTCAATGTCCATTACCAAAAGCAGTTTGGTTGCACCACACTGATCAAGCTACCTGGGTCCTGGGGATGTAGCCGCCAAACTAGACTTCTAGCAAATGTTGAAAGAATTAATTTGAGGGGGGAAAAAAACCCACCAGGGTTCAGTGGTTAGCACTGGTGCCTCACAGTGCCAGGGACCTAGGTTCAATTCCACACTTGTTCGACTGTCTGCATGGAGTTTGCAGATTCTCCCTGTGTCTGCGTGGGTTTCCACTAGGTGCTCCGGTTTCCTCCCATTCTCTGAAGATGTGCAAGTTAGGTGGATTGGCCATGCTAAATTGCCGATAGTCTCCAGGGATGTGCAAGCTAGGTGGATCAGCCATGGTAAATGTGGAGTTATGGGGATAGGGTGAGGATCTGGATGGGATACTCTTTGGAAGGTCAGTGCAGGCTTGATGGGGCAAATGACCTCTTTTCGCACTGTAGGGATTCTATGATTCTCGAACCCATCCTCACAGATGTATCTTGATTTTTTGTGTTGGAATGACCAGTGCACACTTTTGTGGACTATCCTTCTCCAGTGCTAAACCTCTTCCGTTGAATCTGGTACAAGTTTACTGTAGCTTGGAAAAGTTGACATCAGGGACAATTACAAAACTAAAACAAACAGTCTCTCCAAGACAAGCCCGAGTAGGACCATCAGTTGAATCCAGGATTCTGAATAGACACTCTTTGCCAAGGTGACACTAGTGCAGCATTGCAGCATTGCAGTTAATTCGCCATCCCTACTTACATGTTATTTCAAAATAATTTTAATTTCAGTGGTGATGTAAGTCGACGCTAAAAACGGAATATAAAAATTTATTCATTAAAAATAAAAGTAATCAACCTACAAATTTTCTACTATTTTTAGGATGTTCAAGTCACAACACAGAAGACAGAGGGGAGTTACAGACACGAAGCTGGAGAGGGTTCAGAAAAGTTTTACAAGGATGTTGCCGGGAATGAACGCTATGAGTTACAAGGAGAGGCTGGGACTTATTTCACTGGAGGTTGAGGCGTGATTTTATAAGAGGTTTATAAAATCATGAGGGGCGAAAAGTAAAAGGAGTCTTTTTCCCTAGGGTGAGAGACTTCAAGACTAAGGAGCACATTTTTAAGGTGAGACGAGAAAGATATAAAAGAGACATGACAGGCAATTTTTTACACAGTGTGGTTCGCATGTGGATGCTGGTACAGTTACAATGTTTAAAAGATATTTGGATAAGTTCATGAATAAATGTTTGGAGGGATATGGGCCAGGAACAGGCAGGTGGGACAAGTTTAGTTTGGGGTTATGGTCGGCATGGACTGGTTGGACCGAAGGGTCTGTTTCCGTGTTGTATGACACTATGACTATGACTTGTTACTTGCAATCTGCAAAGAATGGCCCCCTGACTCCAAATAATCCAGGAAAGAATGTAAGGAAACTGAATTACCTTAAAAATCTGAGGCATGATGAACTGGAAATGCTTCTGCTGTTCACTATTGAAGTTTTGCAGTTGCGCAGCATATTCATTTTTGCATTCATCGGCCATGTGGGTTCGAAGATTTAATTGTTGTTTTGCCTGGGGATTAAAAAGACATCACTGCTGGCCAACTGCTTAGTCTAATTTCATCTGAACTTCTCAGTTCACATGTGTCCCCCTTCAACGTCAAATCATCTTTGCACTGCTTTAAGTTGGGGAAACTGAGATGGAGAGATTTGATGGCATTTTTTTTAAATCACCTTGCCAGGTGTACTGGAGCAGTCAATTAGATGTGGTTTCTCCTTCCCTCTCCTTGACAGATTTCACTTCAGTAAACCTCCCAGCCAGTCTTTGCTAAAAATTATTGAAACAATGCAGTCAGCAAATTCAACCATCTGACAGTGGATATCTGAATCCAAGACTGCACTCGTGTCAAAATAATAGGTCAACCAAAACATAGCCTTTCCGAATGCTTATATTAGGGTTTCACTTATTTTTAAATAGATAAAAGCATTAAAACAAAATATACTTAATCCACTTTGTAAGAGATGACATTTCACTTTTGGAGTATGGACTGAAAATAGAAAAATGGAACCTGTTTTGAAAAAGGGGAGAATGTATAGGGCGATGTTAGCAGCTTTGGAAAATTATCTGAGATAAGTTACTTTTAGGGGACATTCAGTCCAGATGAACTGATGCTATTAGTTACAGGTAGTTCTGCTATAAGGCGTGTCTCATTAACACGAATTGGCTCTAACACAACTGATGAATAGTGGACACTGTTTGGATAACACAACCTTTCTGCTGTACAGGTACAGTAATTTCCCTATAATTCTATAGCGATTATCAAAAACGCGATTTTCTATAGTGCAGGGCCACAGAAGAATGCAACTATCATGTTATAGCAGAACTACCTGTAATGGTTCAGGTCAGCTGAGCATAGCAACAATCCGCTGACTGGTCAGGATGCAATTTCACACAACTCTTCAAAGGGAATAAAATTAAGAATGAAGACCTCTGGAAATTCGCTTGAATAATATTTCTCTTTCCTCTTATTCAGTGAGGTTTTTCTCCAATTTTCATTGAAAGAGCAGAAAGAATACATTCAGAGATGCAGAAAGAAATAATTCAAAATCTAAAGGCAATCAGAAAGACCCTGGGGACCTCCCAAGCAACAAGTAAACTACAGACTGATCATCACGGAACAGGTAACAAACATCAAAGCATCAAAGAATCAAATGAATTGTGAAACCAATACATCTAATTTTGTGATTTGGACTCCCTCAGCTCATGATATTTGCATTTTTCTTTTTTAGTGTCCTTGCAGAGTTTGTGAAAATTTTAAGAAGTGTGTAGTTCAAGATATATAAATTCAAAATCCTATTCCTTTACTGTTCTTATGGAGAATAAGAGTATTATAATAAATGGAACTTTTTCTTATAGTTACTGAAGAAACTTGGTGTGGTTTGCTTTCATCCTAGGTATCAGTCAGTTTGAGGCAAATTAGAATTTTTTAATAGCTTCATTAAATATCCAAGGTTGAGGCAACTCAGTTGTAAAGCTCCATTTCCAGTGCACGACCTGTGAGTTAAGCTCCAAGCAGGATCAGGAAGCCAAAGCGTTAAACAGCAGGAGCTTTATTAAGGAGATGTTCACATCTCAGGCAGCAAGGTTAAACAGCGTGCTTTGTCTGCCCAAAATGACCAATGATGTCATTGCATCACATGATCATATTCCTAAAGTGACAGCTCACCAAAATTACACAAATGCACAATATCCCTCCCCTTTAACATCAGACGTTCCTGCAATGAAAACATTTACAATATTTACAAACCAAAAAATGGTTGTCTGCAGTAAGGCTTCCAGGGGAAGTCCAATCCTGTGTGTCTATCAGTGCATCCAGGCACCTGTTTATTTTTCTTGTTGGCTTTAAACCTCTGGTGTTTTAGGTGTACTAGGAACATTATATATCATTGTCTTTTCCTGAGACAACTGAATGTTCAGAGGTTCACACATTTCATGGTATTCTCCACTAAGTTACTGTCTCCTCAGTGATCCAGGTACTATTCTGTCCTCAAGTATATCCAGGTCTCTATTTGGCAGAGTTCTTTGTAGATCTTCAATTAATGTTGTCTCTGGCACATTTGTCATGGTTGCCAAGAGAAGATCTGCATTTCTTCTCCATACGATATTGTCTCATGTCTGTATGGTGTAGGAAAGTGGTCCTGTCTGTTCTATAATGACGGCTGGTACACACTTCTCACCTGTAGGCCAACACTTCATAACCTTTATGAAAAACGTGACATTTGGCCTAGGTGTCTCTTTGGAAAACCTGATTCAGATGTTTCCTGTCAACAATGTCTTCTATCATGGGTGGTTTCAGAAATTCAGATGCTGTACGCAACTGAAGCTTCTCCATGAGCAATGCCGGAGGACTCCATGTCGTCAAATGTGTTGTATTCTAGTAACAAAAACTGGTTCAGTATTTTGGATAGTGATTCTTGCACTCAAGTTACCCATAACTATTTAATTGTCTGAACAAGACTTTCTGCCAAACCATTTGGTCTAACTGCATAATGCACTGATCACACCTTGCAACATTTTGCTTGATTGTCACCCGATTTTCAATTTGACAGATCTTTTCCATGTTACCCAGATCCCTATTGAAAGCAAAGGTTTGTTTTAAGAATTTGTGATAGATCAGTCTCAGAATTTGACAAACAATTTACTTCAGCATAGTTGAATTTGATTTTCTCCAACCACATTCTTCCTAATAAAGCGATGAGCAAGGAAAAATCTTCAGACTGACTGTATAACTGAACATTCACATTGATACAACCCTTTAAAGTCACCAGTTCACCTACATACAGTCTTAGTACAATTTTACAGGGTTGCAGCACAATGTGACTCAGCAGCTTCTAATACACACATTCAAGTAACCACTGCTCTGGTGCCCACCTCCATTCCTACATGTTTGCCATTAAGTAAAGGAATGACCTATCGGTTGGGGTTGCTAGCGATGGCCAGAATGTTTAATAACAGGTCCTCTTTGGATTGGAAGTCTGGGCTTTTCTCATGCCCCTTCTGTACTGTGTAGATTTTCTTCCTACTCTTCAGTTTCTGTACTTTTTCTGTTTGTTGTTCGGGTTTCTTCCTCAAATATGTCTGCTCAATGTGTCCTTTATTTGCCAGTGTCTGCATATAGCTTTATACCAGCAATTTGCTGCTGCGTGACCTGTTTTTCCACATCAATGGTAATTTTGAGCTTGCATGAGGGCTTATCTTTTAGCCACCATTTTATAAACTCCCTTTTCAGAGTTTAGCTGTTGAGCTTCTTTGGCTGCTAGTTCCATTGAGACTGCTTTTTCCAGTGCTTTCTTTAAGTCTAGGTTCCTTTCCTTCAGTAATCTCTTCTGGATTGCTTCACATCTTAAACCACACACCAGTCCGTCTCCGATAGCAAACCTTAAGTCTTCTCCAAATTTGCAGAATTCTGCTAGCTTCTTTAAAATTGCCATAAACTGGTGGATGGATTCAGCATTATGCTGGCAGCATTTGTGGAATCTGAACCTTTTAGCAATTACCAATAGCTTTGTGAAAAATACTTCTGTAGAAATCCTAATATATCTTCATAGGTTTTAGAATCCAGCTCTTCTGACTGTTCCAGGTTCCACAGGAGGTTAAAAGATTCTCCCTCCTTCCCCATAAAACTCAGGAACGCAGGAATGACAATATCTGCTTCAATTTTGTTAGCTACCAGTACAAAATAATGGAATTGTGCTCTCTCTCTATCTCTACCTGTATAGCAGTCCCAGTTCACTGTATTCCCATCATACAGTCCCACATGCCAAAATTTCCTATTGTTTTAAAATGTGAAGCTTCTGGGTAGCACAATGTACCACAAAAACATTAACATTATCTTGCTTTTTTTGCTTTAAAACAAGGTATTCCCAAGGCTGCCTCTTTGTTTCCAAGTATACATCCCTAGCTTAAGACATTTCCTTGTGTAGAGGAATTGTTACTCAGGGTGGAGTACATGGCAAGCTCCTTCTGCACTGCTCACCGTTTCTGTGGGGTGATTGGCACAGTGGATCTCAGAGCAGTTTTTAATCCCATCCTTGCGCCAATTTTTTTCTTGTATTACGAAGGACCAAGAGGCAGAAGCATTAAACAGCAGAAGCTTTATTATGGAGACATTCAATCTATAGGCAACAAGGTTAGAGAGCTGCTCATCCACCCAAAACTGCCAAAGACACCATTATTGCATCACATGATGAGACTCTTCACGTGACTGTCCACCATACTTATACAAATGCACAAAAGGTCATGTTATCAAATGTTAACTGAGGAAATAATTGTGAACTGAGTTGGCAAGGAATGGATTTTGGCAGTTCATATTTCTACTTTATTATTTGGAATGATTAAAATGCAGTGGTATAATATTCTAAATGACATGTGCCACCAGTCTGAAAGAAACGAAAACTACGCCAAATAGACTTATTTCTTAGCAGCTAAAAGTGATACTTGGTGATTGGCATCTTCATTTACAAAATGACTGCAAGTCCCAACTTTGATTTAATGGTATTTGATACGATATCCAAAAGGTGGCCCACTGCCCAAAAGTACATCATAATACTCAAGCTGGTTTCTTTATGTGAAAATTCAATTTTAACCTTGGATAATCATCAGTTCTTGAAACTTTTCTCAACCCCAACAGGAACTGCCACTTTGATAAGACTGTCAGTTTCTCAAAGCTTCAGGTAAATGGATGCACGCAGGCGTGCAGGAAGATGCATAGACAGAAGGTCTTTCAACCTTTGTGCATAAGAAAGACAGCAATGATTGCATGTGTGGTAAAGTCTCATTATTTGAATACTGGGATAGTCTCTTTTTGTACAGCAGTGGTCACTGTTCTTTTCTTTACAAGGGTAGTCTAACATTTCTTTTAGTGGTATCTAGAGCGGTTCCACATCAGAAATAGGAAATGTAACAAGCACACAATTTGATCTATGCAATTACTCTGCTTGCAACTACTGCATTCTTGAAAACCTCCTGTGACTAATCTCACCAAAGTTAAGCTAGAGACACCATACAGAGGTCAGCGCTACTTGATGAAAAATAATTTTAATAAACTTTTACCATCTGCTAAAAGAAGCACTTGGAAAAAGTTCTCACTTTGCACTTTTCCTTACACCATGCATTAAAATGTCTGATATGTTAAAAAACAGAATCTCAAAACCAATTGTATGTTTGTTTGTACTAAGCAAATTGTATGTGGTACACTGTCCTAACAAAATGGATTGTCAATTTGCCAACATCTTTCTTCTGCAACTCAAAGAAAGCTATTTGTCAATTACCCTACCCTTGCATAACATCAACAATACAGGAAACCTGTCAATGCTGTTCCACGGTGAATTAAATACACAGTATTAACATTAGTTCTAAGGTTTTGGAGTAGATCTGTAGCTCGGGTTGTGGGGTTGAGGTTGGTTGGCTCGCCGAGCTGGTTTGTTGTTCCGCAGACGTTTCGTTACCGTGCTTGGTAACATCCTCAGTGCAGCTGTTACCAAGCACAGTAACGAAACGTCTGTGGAACAACAAACCAGCTCGGCGAGCGAACCAACCCAACATTAGTTATAAATTTACTAATCCCCATTCACCAACCCCACCATCCTTCAGTGAAGTAAATCTTATTTTTCAATAAACATAACAGGCAAATTTGAATGTGCAGAAGAACCAGCTTTGAAATAACTTAAAAATGGTCTATATATACAAAAACAACAAATTTCCAACCTTTTCAACATCTGCTTTTGTTGCATTATGGTCAGAATCTAGTCTCTCGTAACACAGTTGCGCCTTCTCAGTCTCTTTGCATTCTCTCTCAAACTTCTTTTTACTCTGAAAGGGAAAGGTGTTTAAAAAAAACATAATTTGATGATTACTCTTCTAGTTTGAAACTTCTGACCAAGCTTTGGAAGCTACTGAATCATTAAGGTGATGCTTACCTGGAACAATGAGAAATCTCAATGAAATGATAAAAATGCATTGTAGTTTTTCAGAAAAAATAAGAAATTCAATTAGAAATGATTATGATCTGTTTGAACCTAGATATACCTTTCTAAAATAAATCAAACCTATATGTGGTCAAAATCATTTAAATTTTAGCTTTGATTAATAGAGCTTTAAGCTGGCAGTCAAAGTCTTCCTTTTGTGTTTATATCTGCAATTATTCCATTGAGCCAGGTGAAGTTTTTTTCCCAGGTTAAGCTGTCACAAGTGTTCATGGTGTAGAAAAAAAATACTAAAAGTACAGTTAAAAAAAAGTCTGTATTCTCTGCATTTTGTTAAACAGCTTGCATTAAGAAGCCATTTCTCAACATATTGGTTACGATAATCTGCATAAGGGTATAACAATATGAGCAATCCTAAGAAAGCCTAATCATGAAGGTAGTGGGGTGGGCCTGGGTAGGCTGCTCTTCAGAAGATCGGGTATGAACTTGATGAGCTGAATGGCATGCTCCCACACTGTAGGAATTCTATGATGTCAACAAATTGGGCACATAGTTAGTTAAAGGGTTCATCTAAAACAAAACTTTAGAAAGACAAACGTCATCTTGGTTGCTATTTTAATTTGCACTATGTACAGTCAGCTGAAAAATATATTTACAACTACATTGTGCAAATTGTTTTTCTCAATAAAAGAAGGCAATATACTTTAATAATGAGCAGCATTTTTATTTTCTGACCACAACAAAGAATTTACCAGGATCAAATCATTAAATTGCTTCCCCGTCACCAAAAGTCTTTTCTGCCACGGTCTACAGGGACACATTTGTGTGGATTCAATCCCAACTGCTTTAATATAGCAACATATAATATGGGCTCCTCTTCAGTAAAAGGAGTAATAAGCAAACAAAATGAGCTTCCAAGTGGCTGATCCATCTTAGCCTCCTCCAGAGGTCCCCAGGATCACAGATGCCAGTCATCAGCCCATTCAATTCAGACCATGTGATAGGATGGCATGGTGGCACAGTGGTTAGCACTGCTGCCTCCTAGCACTAAGGACCCAGGTTCAATTCCACCTTCAGACAACTATTTGTGTGGAGTTTGCACATTCTCCCTACGTCTGTTTGGGTTTCCTCCGGGTGCTCCAGTTTCCTCCCACAGTCCAAAGACATGGAGGTTAGGTGGATTGGCTATGCTAAATTGCCCATAATGTCTCGGGATGTGCTGGCTAGGTGGGTTAGCCATGAGAAATGCACAGTTACAGGGAGAAGGTAGTGGGGTGGGCCTGGGTAGGCTGCTCTTCAGAGGATCGGGTATGAACTTGATGGGCTGAATGGCATGCTCCCACACTGTAGGGATTCTATAATGTCAACAAATATACTGAAAAGACAATAGAGCTTGACAGCATTCCTAAAATAGCCCAGAAGACTTGTGCTCCAGAACTTGCTCTAGGCACCCCTAGCACAGCTGTTACAGTACAGCTACAACACTGGCATCCGTTTAATATGGAAAAAAAAGTCTCCCATCTAGCAATGAAAGGGTCATTAACAGGACTGTCACGCAGCAATTGCTTAGCAATAGACTGTTCAGTGACGCTCAGTTTGGGCTTCACTAGAGCTGCTCAGCTCGCAACCTTAGTTTAAACATGGATGAAGGAGCTAAATTCCAGACATTAGATAAGTGTGACAGCCCTTGACATCAAGGCCATATTAGACCAAGTGTGATATCAAGAATCCCTAGCAAAACTAGATTCAATGGGAATCGGGGGAAACTCTCTGCTGGTTAGAGTCATGCTTGACATAAAGGAAGGTGGTTGTTGGAGGTAGGTCATCTCAGTTCCAGAACATCTCTTCAGGATTTCTCAGGGGAGTGTCTGAGACCTTACCATCCTCAGCTTCTTCATCAATGACCTTCCCTCCATCATAAGGTCAGAAGTGGAGATGTTTGCTGATAACTGCATAATGTTCAGCACCATTCATGATTGCTCAGATACTGAAGCAGTTCTTGTCCAAATTTAGCAAGACCGGGACAATACCCAGGCTTTGGTTGATAAGTTGCAACTAACATTCACAGCATACAAATGTGAAGCAATGGCTACCTCCAACAAAAGAGAATCTAACCAGCTGTCTTAATATTCAATGGCATTACCATCACTGTAACCCCCACTAATAGAATTCTGGGTTTAACATTGACTAGAAATTGAACTGGACTAGTCATATAAATACTATGACTACAAGAGCAGATCAGAGGCTAAGAATCATACCAAGTAACTCACTTCCTGACTCCCTAAAGCCCGTCCACTATCTACAAAACACAAGTCAGGAATGTGTTGGAATATTTTTCAGTTGCCTGGATGTATGCAGCTCCAACAATAATCAAGAAGCTTGATACCATCAAAAACAAAGTAGCCCACTTGATTGTTTGTGGACGTGGTGCCATTCACTTCCCCTACAACTAACAACCAGTGGCAGCACTACGTGCCAAGTACAGGATGCTTTGCAGAAATTCACCAAGGCTCCTCAGAGATCAACTTCCAAACCCTCAACTACTACCATCAAGAAGGACAAGCACAGCAAATACATGGGAACACCACCACTTGCAAATTCCCCTCCAAGCCACTCGCCATCCTGAGTTTGAAATATGTCAACATTCCTCAGTGTTGCTGGTGAAAATCCTGGAACTCCTTAACTGGCACTGTGGGTGTAGTTAGACCAAATGGTTTACAGCAGTTCAAGGTGGCAGATCAGCGCCACCTTCTCAAGGGCAACTACAGATGGGCAGTAAATGCTGGCACATCCAGTGAACCTCCATCCCACAAGAGAGGAAAAAATGCATTCTAGCAATGCCTTGATCTTTGCCACTCTATGGCAAAGTGTTTGTACATCAAGTCATGGATTAGGCATGATGTTCTCCATGCAGACATTTGAGATCATAGCCCACGCTACTTACCTGTGGGTTCAAAATAAACTCTTTGCCCAATCTACCCCCATGCCTAGTTACTCATACAGTTCAATAAAATTGAGTCAATTTTTAATGTTCTAATTAAATTCTAAATTCTGTCTGAGAGATAGGATTTATGATCACTTGGATAGGCACAGTTTGATTTGTGATAGTCACTATGCATTTGTGAGGGGTAGATCATGCCTCACAAACCTTATTGAATTCTTTGAAGAGGTGACCAAACATGTGGATGAAGGTAGAGCAGTGGATGTGGTATGCATGGATTTAAGTAAGGCGTTTGATAAGGTTCCCCACGGTAGGCTCATGCAGAAAGTAAGGAGGCATGGGATAGGGGAAAATGTGGCAGATTGGATTCAGAATTGGCTGACCCTTAAAAGACAAAGGGTGGTAGTGGATGGAAAATATTCAACATGGTGCTCAGTTACGAGTGGTGTACCACAAGGATCTGTTCTGGGTCTTCTTCTATTTGTGATTTTTGTAAATGATTTGAATGAAGGAGTGGAAGGGTGGATTAGTAAGTTCGCGGACAATACGAAGATGGGTCGAGTTGTGGATAGTGCGGAGGGCTGTTCTAGGTTACAAAGGGACATTAATAGGATGCAGAGCTGGGCTGAGAAGTGGCAGATGGAGTTTAACCCTGAAAAGTGTGAGGTGATTCATTTTGGAAGGACAAATTTGAAAGCAGAATACAGGATTAACGGAAAGATTCTTGGCAGTGTGGAGGAGCAGGCAGATCTTGGGGTTCATGTCCACAGATCCCTGAAAGCTGCCACCAAGGTGGATAGAGTTGTTAAGAAGGCGTATGGTGTGTTAGCTTTCATTAATACAGGAATTGAGTTCAAGAACCGTGAAGTTATGCTCCAGCTATACAAAATCCTGGTTCGGCCACATCTGGAGTATTGTGTCCAGTTCTGGTCGCCTCATTACAGGAAAGATGTGGAAGCATTGGAAAAGGTGCAAAGGAGATTTACCAGGATGTTGCCTGGAATGGAGGGAAGGTCTTACGAGGAAAGGTTGAGAGAGCTAGGGCTTTTCTCTTTAGAATGACAAAGGATGAGAGGTGACTTGATAGAGGTGTACAAAATGATCAGAGGTATAGATACAGTAGACAGCCAGAGACTTTTTCCTAGGGTGGAGGTAGCTATTACGAGGGGGCATAGTTTTAAAGTGAGTGGAGATAGATATAGGGGAGACGTCAGAGGAAGGTTCTTTACTCAGAGTGGTAGGGGCGTGGAATGCATTGCCGGAGAGGGTAGTGGAGTTGGCCTCATTAGGGGCATTTAAGCTGCTATTATATAGGCATATGGGTGATAGTATAAGGTAGGGGTGGAGGTTAGATTGACCTTAGGTTTAGGGTAAAAGTTCGGCACAACATCGTGGGCCAAAGGGCCTGCACTGTGCTGTACTGTTCTATGTTCTAACATGGGTATTAGGAATAGGAGGTCAGTGCAGATGAATGCATGATATGGAGGTGCTGGTGTTGGACTGGGGTGGACAAAGTTAGAAGTCACATGACACCAGGTTATAGTCCAACAGGTTTATCTGAAATCATGAGCTTTCAGAGTGAATTCACCTGACAACGCAGCAGTGCTCCGAAAGCCTGCAATGCTAGATAAAGCTGTTGTACTATAACCTGGTGTTGTGTGACTTCTGACCAGATGAATGCATGGCTGGCAAGATGGTGTGGCGGTGGGGGCTTTAGAATTCTGCGATCTAGAGACCTTTTTTAGGTGGCGAGACCTGTACGTGGTGGACAGGTTGCACCTGAACTGGAATGGGACCAGTATCGTTGTGAGGAGGTGTGCCAGTGCTGCTGAAGAACGTTTAAACTAACTTGGCAGGAGTTGGAATCTAGAGAATCTACCAAAGCTAAAATTCTCATCTGTATTTTACAGTTCCTCAATGGCCCCAACCCTCTGTCAGTGATCGCTGACAATCCTCCACCCAAGATATCTGCCCCTCCTTTAATTCTAGTCTTGAATCCCAATGTGAAAATGACGCAACTATGGTGACTGCACCTCAGTTCTCACCAGAATACAGTTTAAAAGGAGAAAAAAAAAAAATGAAGCTTACATTATCCATCTGTTTCCAGGATGTGTCAAGGTACTGCTGGGCTTTACGTCCTTCTTGCAGGTGCTGCAAAAAGAAAGCAACCTCAAAATGTTCAATCATGAGATTAGACAGTTGTTTAGTAATATGAATGTCAGTGTTACAACTCTAGTTACCCAGTTTCTCATGAGACTAGATTGTGTGTCAAGTCTGTAATTTCAGTATGATTACAGATTTGTGCATCTAGATTTTAAATTTTATTCCATGCATGTTATAGAGTCATTGAGGCCTACAGCACAGAAATGGGCCTTTGGCAGTGAGTACCAGATTCCCACCACCTTATGGGTGAAAATATTTTCCTCTCAACCTTCTGCCTTTACACTAAATATACCACTGCCAACCCAACAACAACCACCATGCCCCCCACCCCTCCCCACACCCCGGTCACTGATCCTCCATCAAGAGGAAAGGTTTGTTTCCGTCTACCATATCCATACTACTCAATTTTATACATCTCAATCATGTTCCCTCTCATTCTTCTCTGCTCTAAGAAAAACAACCCCAGTCTGTCCAATCTCTAGCCCAGACAACATCCTGGTAAATCTCCTCCATGCTCTCTCTAATGCTATCAAATCCCTCCAAAAATGTGGATTCCAGAAATGCATGCAATACTCTAGCTGGGGCCTAATCAACAGTTCCTATACAGTTCCAGCAACACCACCTCCCTGCTCTTAAACTCTATGTAGCCAATAATAAAGGCAAGTATACCATACGCCTTCTTAACTCACCGCTACATCTCTTCCAGATATGCCCACCTTGAAGAAGTTCTGTTCCTCTTTGACAGGATTTCCATTCCAATCTTTCTCTTGCCCACTGTCATTAACTTTGCTGTTGCTGCTGGTGTTTGACAAGGTATCTGCTAAAACTCATTTCCACAGCTGCATCACATTCCTCAGTGAGTGCCTCTGGCTCAGACTCACCCTTTGTGGATTCCAACTCAAATTTCATCATTCATGTTTTGAATCCACCCAGGATCACAGGTATCACTGTGATGTTTAACATTCCATAGACAATTGTTCTCGCAACATCCTGAAATTCACACTCCGTGCCATGCGTCGTCATATGCAGTCTCTCAACCTCTCTCTCCATGCTCTACAGATACTGTCAGATCTGCTGAGCTTTTCCTGCAATTTCTGTTTTTGCCTCCAGAATGTTATCTAGGTCTATTGATTATTAGTCTAGTGATAATACCACTAGGCCATTGTCTTGAAAATTCTGCTGCCAGTTTGTTTACATGTATCAAGTCCTTCTCACCAAAACTTATGTTTGATAACTGCTCCACTAATGCCTCTAACTGAAATTTTTTTTTTTTACACTGGTTTTATATCACTTAACGCTCTAACCCCACGTCTTCAAATCCTCCAAATTTACAATTCTGAGTTCTCTTATACCTCCTCCAACCCTTTCATCCCATTATCAGTAACTGTGCCTTCAACTGCTTATCCATCACCTGGAATTCAAGCACTAAAACTTAATGGCTCTCCTTCTCTTTATTCCCCTTACACACCATCCCCAAAAACAACACTCTGATCAAACTATGATCAAACTGTTTGCCACTGCTCCTAGCATCTCCCTGTGCAAAGTTAATTGTTTCTTTTAATTACTGAAATGTTTTCTGACGTCAAGTGAACTATGTTTGTTCAAGTTGTTTTTGTTGAAACACCAATGTTTTAAAACAGAGCAAAAATTGTGAACACTTGGGACACCAATGGCCACAGTATGCCTAGTGAAGACTGAAATGAGGCAGAGCAGAATTAAAAATCAGCATGGATTCTGCACCTGATCATTAAAAAGATTGCTGGTCGTAAATGCAGAGACAGATTAGTATCCGTTCAGGACAGGAACACAAATTGTTTCCATTTGTTCTCTCAGTTTGTGTCTCTCTCCTTGATGTCAAATCTTTTCCAACAAGCATTTTTGACCAATAATTTTCAAGCTTACATAAGCCAAGCTTCAGATATAACATTCCCTTTGCCCATGGAAGCTCTAGAAATCCTAACAATGTGTAAGTGATTGATCATTGACCATTGCACCTGGGGAAAGGAGAAGGTAGAACATAGTTCAGGACAATTGTTCTTAAATTCTAATATCATATGACCTGCAGAACTTGACATTATAACCCTATAAAGAACCTTATTAATGTTGGACACAGAACCATAACTGAAGAGCATTCCTTTTTCAGCATTGTTGTTAAATAAAACATGCAACTGGTTCTTTGCTAGTCAGTGCTAGAACCAGTACATAGAAAAATTGTGAGGTTAAACCTCAAAGGGTGAACAATCACAAGCTTTGCGTCGATACTGAAAAAAATAGCTGCTTTTCATCTGTAAAGGAAGCATCTAGGAAATAAATTTGTGCATGTGTGCAAGACATAATTAAACCTAGAGCATCATTTCAAATTAAATTGCAATAATAGGACAGGGAAAATGTAAATTCAAAACTGTATGCAAATATCTGCAAAGCATTTCAGAAATAATTGGTGGTACAATGGAGATATTTGGATATATGACTCCCTCATCTATAATTATTTTATGAATTGTATTGCATTGGAGTTTGTCCATCGCAATCAGAATTCTGTATTTCTTTTCAACAAAAAGAATCTAAAATTAGTTTGAAGTCCACATTTCATCATGTAAAAAAAACAAATGAGAGAACACTCACAGCTTTCCTTTCCATTTTCAGTTCATGAGCGTATCTCATGAGTTCTCCATAGACTCTGTGGCCTATTTCTTCTGCAACAACTTCGCGTTGGCCTGCATAGTCATTGAGTTCATTAAGAACTTGAAAGAAAGATTGACAGTAGGTAAATCTGCAGAAACAAAACAACAATTAGAATTAGTGAATGCAAAATTGTTAAATACCTCACCTGGGCATAAAAAGTGACTCGTTTTGTCGGATGAAATATTAATAATGACAATCAATTTAGTGAAGCTCTTTTATGACTTAATGAGTATGAGTCTTGCTACATTCCAATGAACTAAACGTCTTTTTAAATTGCTAATAAAGGAAAGCATCAACATTAGCCTTAGAGAAAACCTATCTAAAACTGGGCAACAAAACAATAGTTTAAATAATGTATAAATGATCAAATAACATTGCTGTCAGGTAACTGAACAAATAAATGGGAAACTGTGTCAGTGTAAACATCATACTCTGGGTGAATCTGGATGCAATGTGAGCAAGTACACAATGAAGGTGCATTGAATTGAGACATAAATGGGAGCAAGAATTGGAAGTTTGGCAGGTTTGTTATTTTCAAAGCCTATGCAGAAGCAATTAATTAAAGTGCAAAAAATGTGTTGGGAGACTTAATTAGAAGAAAAGCAAAGTACAAATGCTTTCCATCTCAAAGCCTACCTCCTTCAA